TTTGGAATTTTTATGTTGATATAAAGCATATAAAGTTTTCTATTCATGAACATGTCAACTTACTTTATAAAAAGTAAATTTCCAATTTATCTTTCCATTTAATTTAGAATAAGGTTAATATTTTATTTACATATTTTTTAGGATATGTAATGTTCTCGAGGCTTCAAACTTAAAGATCGAAGTAAAGGCATTTGATTTAAATAAAAAGATAAAGTCTAAAACTTATCGTTTCAAGACCGAGATTTTAAAACATCAACAAAACAGATCATCAGAAATATCTACTAAAAATCTAAAAATTCATCAGCAATTGGTCTCTGAATTTGTAGTCAGCGTGTTAAATGCTTGCGCATATTGTCTTCCTGGTAATAAAAATTATCAGTTCCTATAGCCGACTTAATGGCAAATGCAGCTGTAAAAAATCTGCAGTCACATGTTAGATTGGTGCTGAACAGGTAAAACTTTTATGGTAAGGTTTCCACTTCGATCTATAAATCTTGCGTATAATTGTCGCATTTGGCGTCGGATATACTCCGAAATTGATTTACCCGGGCTGTCTGCATAATAAATATTTCCATCAAAACATGCTGTACGTACCCAGTGATTCAAATCATGCAAAATTTGGATTGAACCATACCGCAAAACTTTAAACCCATCTTTTCCTTGCGAAAGTAGTGTTGACTGACAAGGATCTTCATTAGCCAAGTGAAGGCTATTATAGTTATCAAAATTATTATCGGTACTAGATGTTACATCGCAAGTAGGAGAATAAATACCGCGTTAAAGACGAGTTTGTGGTCAGCCTTGGTATTATTACGAACATTTTTATTGTATGGGGGAGTAGGAAAATAAATAAAATTGTAGGACAATGTTATTATTTCTTGAATATAAAACGCAAATATTTTTGTAAACGATGATCTTATTGTTAATTGACGATGTAATAGTTTACTAGCCGCAGGTTTTAAACTATAATATTCTGGTCAGTAGCATTAACCTAAATTTTTTGATATTTGTGGAAAATGTAAACTTTTTTGTCCCATCTCACTCCAATCTCCTCACTTCCTCGTAATATAACAAACTGTGGTAGCATCGATTTACAAGCTACGATTAACTTTATTAGAAAAGTGTATTCTATTATCTGTTGTAAAGAATTTAATTGGTATAGAGGTGAAAGGGTATTAAAAGCTTTATACCTTTGATTTCTTTATACATAAAATTATAAATAACAACTTACACAATACAATAATCTACTTCTATAAATATATTGAATTTATATATTTAAGAAGATAACACAAAAAGTAATAGAAAAAGAATACGATCATTATTTAGTGGCCGTATAATAGATGTCAATCATCCCCAATTCAAAAAAAAAAACATACAAACTTATTAAGTTCCTTCTAGGCATTTCCATTTCTGTGCGTGATTTTTTATTTTTCTTTGTTTTTACAAGTGCACTTTAACTCCCAGCTTTTAATTGTAAAAACTAGGAAAAATAAAGTCACGCACAGAAATGGAAATGCCCAGAAGGGACATTTTTATGATTTTCTTAAAAACAAGGCATATTACTATGATTTTCTTAAGGAACAGCCCAAAAATATATATATATTTTTTTAATTTTAGGCTACCTGAAAAAAATTAAGTATATATACTTTTTACATTTTAATTTTTTTAGTTGTTAATGTTGAAATAGTTTGAAAAATATAAAATAATTTTCAAAACGTCATACTCAAGCTAGAAATATTTGATGACTGGTATTTCTCATCGAAAGTATATATAATATGAATTGTAGAAATATAATATTTCACTTGATATTAATTTTCATAAAAAACTAGATGAAATCGACAAATTTGCAACTTCCGTGCGTGGCCATACATAAGCTGTATTTAAACGATTGCTGCGACTCCTATGATAATAGCGCAATCCTATATTTTTCTGTATATCTTTACTAATATCTAAAATATTTTTTTTTTTAAAAATTTTCTGACGAAAATTATTTTTTCCGAGGAATTAAAGCTTATTTATCTAGTAACTAAAATTTCTGTTTTTCTAATTCATGCGTGATTCTGCTTCAAACTTAATTTATTCTTTAATAACATTACCAATGAATACCAGTCCTTGTTTACAAAATACTTACAGATTAGGACTAAATGAGAGTAAATTGGAAATTTATTATTATGAGAATAATAGACGAAACATCTACGGGTTTCCGTGCGTTATTTTTGGAAATGATCTTCTGTGTGAAATGCCCCGTATATACTTTATGAATATTACTTAAAACAAAATAATTCTTTATATAATAATTTAATTTACAGTTTCAAACCATAACAATCGAAAATATGATATAAACAATACACTTAATAACATAATTTATGGAATTCAAAACATTTTATGGCATTCGTCTTTTTAAAAAATAGTCATTTATCAAATTTGTTTTGCACCAATAGAATACTTTAGAATTGCATATTATATTTATGAAATCAATTTTCTCTATGAATAATATATAAAAAAGGATATTTCTGAAACAAAATTCAAAAAATTTAAAACAAAAAGAAATACCTCACATTTAAACTATTGCATAAAAACAAATAGATTATTGGATTAAATTAACTAACACAACATATTTATAATACAAAAAATTTATCTGTTTAAAAAGAATTTGATTAAGAAACACTATTTGCTCCTGTACAAAGTTTGGAGTGGGGTTTTATTTTTTTATAAAAAAAGCTAAACAAAATTTTAAAATTTTCATCCAAATCCTTTTAAAAAGAATATTAACTTAACCTTCTTTTGGGTGCTAAATACAAACGGGAAGGGGTATGAAAAAAAAAAGGAGTGGGGTGGGGATGATATATATATATATATATAATATTCTGATTTTTTTTTTTAGTTTTAAGATGTTATTTTGTTGATAACAAGTTAAAATTTAAATGGGGAAAGGGTCTTATTAAGCTTGAGTTGGGTAAGAAAAGTTCTAAAGTAATAACGTCCCCTTCCGTGTATTAAGCACCTAAGAGTACAGTAATAAAAGACATGTTTAAAAGTATCAAAAGAGCTAATTTTTTCCAATTGTTGAAACTTTTAATTTACTTTCACATTTACAAATATTTAAGGCAACAGTATATCCATAACAATAAAAAAAAACATAAATACAATAAATTTGGTATACAACTGCAAGAAATCAATGTATAAAAGTGCTGCCTAATGCTAAGCTCCATTATTATCAGTTCACTAAATTCTGTGTCTTATCTCAGAAGTTAGGCTCTAGAGACTTATGGAAAATTTTCTAGAGTGTCATTAAGGTAGGTCTACCATTTTATCTCTTATTCATAGAACTGAACTTATTATCTTTTCCAAGGAAAAGGCTATTTCCCAAGGAAAAGAACTATTTGAAAAGAACTTTTCTTCTAATTCGACTTAAATCTTATAGCTATACTCTTCCTTTCATTCCAATTAAACAGGTTAATCCATTGTTATTCATTCAAATCATTCAGTTTTCATTGCTTAAATCATATTTCAATTAAACGCTTCTACGGTTTGTGGTCGATACAACATTCCTATCATAGTCTTACAAAAATGTTCTCCAGAGCACTCTTCAATTTTTTCTTAACTATTTAATAAGCGTTTGACTAAATCTTGTTTTCCTACCTACTGGAAAATGGCATCTGTGGTGCAAGTTTTTAAAAACTCTGGAAAAAAAGCCATTAAGCCTTTGATCAACAAATTTCTAACATCCCATCTGAAGTCAGATAACTTGCTGTCAGTCAATCAATACGATTTTCTATCATCTTGTTCTACGGCTGACTTGCTATTTATATATAACAGACAGTCTATCTAAAATCTGATCTCACTTTTGTAACAGATTGGGCCTTGCAATAACTTGTGAAATTTAACTCCAACAAAACTCAGTTTTTTACTACAAACAACTATCGTAGTACTGTCAACATTTTTATGTTGATAAATGAATGGCAACCCTCTAACTGAGACTTCTTTACTTCTTCTTGGATTATCGTTCATTACTAATCTTTCATGGAAACCATATATACAATCAATTGCAAAGTTAGCATCTGCAAAGGTTGCTTCTCTTTATCATGCTTAACATTATCTTACTCCTGATTCCATTCTCTATTTCTACAAATCTCTTACTAATATAACATATATAATATATATATATATATATATATATATATATATATATATATATATATATATATATATATATATATATATATATATATATATATATATATATATATATATATATATATATATATATATGTATGTATGTAAAATGTTATGCTCATTATAGATTATTATTGCTATTGTTATTATTATTATTATTATATGTGATGTTAATATTATTTACATTTTATTTACATTTTTATAACTGTCATTATTACTAATTAACATTGTTTAATATTTACCTGTGATATTTATCAATGTTATTACTATTATTGTTATTATTAATGCTGCTATTTATATTACTAATATAATCATTATTATTGTTATTATTATATCTAATTATATTATTGTTATTACTATGACTGTCCTCATTAAATTTACTTTGATATTTCTATATGATTGCTATTATTACTTAACTGGTGTTTGCCTTCGATTAGTATTCGTACTATTAGTAAATAACCATGAAATATAAAAACTTTTATTTCACAATATATATTGTTATTGTTGTTATAAATAATTATATATATATATATATATTATATATATATATATATATATATATATATATATATATATATATATATATATATATATACACACACACATATATAAATATATATATATATATATATATAATATTTATATATATACATTTATCATATATATCAAATATATATATATATATAATACATATAATATTTATACATACATATATATCTAATATATATATATATCTAATATATATATATTATATTATATTTTATATATATAATATTTATACATACATATATGTATTTATATATATATCATATATGTATATATATATATATATGCATATATATAGATATATATATATATCTATACATATATATATATATATATATATATATATATATATATATATATATATATATATATATATATATATATATATATATATATCTATATATATATATATATATCTATATATATATATATATATATATATATATATATATATATATATATATATATATATATATATATATCTATATATATATATATATCTATATATATATATATATATCTATCTATATATATATATATATATATATATATATATATATATATATATATATTATATATATATATATATATATATATATATATATATATATATATATATATATATATATGCATATATAATAGACATAGACAATCTATGTGTGTAATATATGCACATTTTTAGGCGCTACTCGACTTTCTCCCCCCCCCCCCCCCCTGTTTTTATGATTGATTATGATAGAGAATTTTATGCTGATTAAGAATCGTATAAAAACATAGGTCTGAAAATTAACAGAAAGTGCTCTAATTCGACGTCAAAGTTTAAAAAATCCCACTACAAACGCTAATATTCGCCATTTTTTAAAAACGCTTTAGATCAAAGTTTACATTTAAAAATCGATCGTTTAGAAAATCTTTTTTTAATTACGCGACCCGGTTTTTATTGTCGTCAAAATTAAACTTTATTTGAATTAAATGTTTTTATGAAATATATTTTTGATAAAATTTTCAAAATGTAATTTAAAATATACACTTTTTAGATGTACATAAATCGACTGACAAATAGGGATTGGCGTAATTAAATGTACATCATCGACTGACAAATAGGGATTGGCACAATTAAATGAACATGCATCGACTGACAAATAGGAATTGGCGTGTTTAAAACGTACATGATTTGGGACAGGGT